TTACTTACTGAGTCCTTCCATTATCTGTCATCCATTACTTACTGAGTCCTCCTATTATCTTGTCATCCATTACTTATGAGTCCCTTCCATTATCTGTCATCCATTACTTACTGAGTCCCTCCATTATCTGTGTCATCCATTACTTGCTGAGTCCTTCCATTATCTGTCATCCATTACTTGCTGAGTCCTTCCATTATCTGTCATCCATTACTTGCTGAGTCCTTCCATTATCTGTCATCCATTACTTGCTGAGTCCTTCCATTATCTGTCATCCATTACTTGCTGAGTCCCTCCATTATGTGTGTCATCCATTTTGGTTACCTTCATCATCCACGTTATGTTAGCTTATTCACTCTGTCTTTTCATTCACTCTTTTAGTCTTTTCATTGACTCTGTTAGGTTATTCATTCATGTTGGTCATAAAACAAACAATGCTCGTAGCCGCCTACGTTGTTAAGCTGGTCCAGCCATAAGACAACTAGTACAGTGGACCCCCGTATATACTAATGAATTATATATACTTGACGTGCTGTTGGAGTGTGAGCAAGGTAATATGAAGTGATTCAGGGAAACCGGTTAGCCGGACTTGAGTCCTGGAGGTGGGAAGTGCAGATATATAGGAATTTTTGGAAGTGTAGTATCGTGACGGCTCTGGCAAGACAGTGGCGGAGTGATGATGAAAGTGTTTCTTCTTTCTCGGGTCACCTGCCTCGGTGGCCGATATGTTAACACAAAATTAAGATGTTTTACTTGTCGTCCCATCAACCAGCAAGTAACATTATCTTCAGTTACATAGCTTCTCTATTTTACTGCAATTCTGGTCTAGTTACTCCTGATTCTGGTGTGTGTGTGTGTGGTGTGTGTGTGTGTGTGTGTGTGTGTGTGTGTGTGTGTGTTTACCCTCAGTGTGTAATGTTTCATCAGGTCACTTAAGCGTGTACACAGTACACAACATGCGAACACACCGCTCATATATATATATATATATATATATTATATATATATATATATATTATATATATATATATATATATATATTTTATATATATATATATATATATATATACGAAAGAGTGTTTAATATAAGTGATATTTTAGTTCTTGGTCAGGATATAGAAAATCGTATTTTCAAATCTTAAGTGAAAGTAAATTTTGATAAATTCACTAACTTTTAGACCAAGTTTATTGGCTAGAACGCCATAGAGTGCCCCATAATAGTACAATATTGTTACAGAATTTTACACTCACGTAGTTGCACATTCACACATGTGCTTGTATGCACATACGTACTCATATTTACACGTAAGCACACGCAGTCATGTCAAGACCAAACACACTTCCATGTTTTTCACCTGGAATATTGTCAGAAATGACAATTGCTCTCTTTTAAATTTCGAGTTGTCATTATATTTAATTAAGCTACATCTCCATCTCGCCCCCCCCCCTTCTTTTTTTGTCTTCCACTCTCTCAAGCTTCAAGCTATTGCCCCCTGAGTCTTTTATTACGTACATCATCTTTTATTCTTAATGTTAAATTACACTAATTATCTATGGATGATAAATTCAGTTAAGACAACCTCTTGTTAAAATCCCGGGCCTATTGGCGCCATATTAACTTTTTGAGAGGTGGGCGCTTTAATGTGTAAATAAGACTTCTGACCGTGTTCCATGGAAGACACCCAGTGTTAGCTTCTTGGGGGATATAGACCATATCTTAAACTGTGGCAACACACTCCTTAAATTCTACTACACGCCTCATTTTAAACTCTGAGACACCGGCCCCTTTAAACTAAGGGACACGGCCCTTATATCAGTGGGGGACATCGACCCTTAAACTACGGGACACGACCCTTAACAAATACCATTAGGAACAACGGCTCTTGACTTTTTAAAGCTGTTGTGGACACCAGCCTTTACCCTGTACTGTTGTGGACACGGCCCTTCACCATGTCTGTGTTTCTCATGTGTCCCTCCACCCATGTTTTTTTCCCCACCATTCGTTTGGACTGGACCTCCGGACGGTGTGCTGCAGCTGGTAAGCCGAAATTCTTTGCCATCTTGCGATTAACCAAGACCTTTCCTGTGTGGCCTCCAAGTGGAAGTTTTCCCTGTGCTCATTGTTTCACTGTGTAATTGCTTTAACAGTAGCACTTAAACTTAAGAGGCCAGTTTGTTTTATTCTAGCATGTTATTTAAAATATAATGACTTTCATTTTATATCTGATTTTTGTTGTAGTTTTTAATAAACTTTATATACAGTAACTCAGTTTTTTATTCGGTTTCGGTAACATTCACTTCAAGAATCCTACCATTTGCATATAAGTGTACTTATTGACTCACGAAGTTGTAATGACACGATTGTAAACAGCCATACCACGGGCGGGGATTGAACTCGTGGCGAGTGAGTTGTAAAACTCCAGGCCAGTGGCTTTCGCGCTGCCTTGGAGTTTTATGACTCACTCACCGCGAGTTCGGTTCCCACCCGCGGTATGGATGCTTTTAAGGTTATTATTTTTGAAATAATACGAATTCTATATGGAATTAAATATTAATGTGTGCAGCTGCAGACATAACTTTTTTAATACTGGTTGTGGATACTGACTTCCTGTGTCATATGTCCAAGTTATAATTCACTTCTATCTTTCTCGCCAACATTGACGGGAAAAAATTGACAGTTTGTAAATGGTATGGCGATACTAACAACTGTGGAGAAGGTCACGTGTGTACAGTTGAGACATTTATCTGATATAATTGATCAACAACTGATGAAGCTACTTATGAAAGGTTCAGTAAATGTCCTGACTCTACACAAGTGCCTTTTTTTCCGTAGTTTGCGACTTTCTTTTGTTTTTGCTCTCTTACAAATGTAGATTTTGTAATTAGCTTAAATATTAGCCAGTTATGTTTTATATGATCATTTGTGTACTGAAACAAACCTGGGAAAACTTCCATGTCAAGACTACGTATTTTACCTGGTTACTTAACTTATATACTGTATGTCCAGTATGTATGTATCCAGTAATCGCCAACAAGCGATATAAAATCCTAAACAACCATTGGAGGGGGGAGTTGAATGACAGCTCTAGGCCTTTCGTGTTACAGTCAACACATCAGAAGCTTGCAATGTTGCATAAAAAATGAGGAATTTCAAGGAAATGCTTTCAGAGGAAGTGTCTTTGCTTGCAAGCTTCTGATGATGTGTTGATTGTAGCACGAGAGGCCTAGAGCTGCCATTCATCCCCCCCCCCGGTGGTTATTTTGTATTTTATATATATATATATATATATATTATATATAAAATATATATTATATATATATAATATATATTATATATATATATATATACATACATACATGCATGTATTTGCATATATATACACACAGTATATAACTTCATTGTTTCTTTAGTCTATGGTTAATAAAATATGCTTTGTGAGAACAGTCAGTCACTTATGTATTTATCAAACAACAGGTGTGATGATATACATGTGACTTGTGTTTGATCATAACATAGTGACCTCGACTTGACCGCCAAAACTCCGTTACTTGGCCCACCCCTCAAGGAAACAATTAATCCACAATGAGAATTATTTTTGTCGTTGGATATAAGTTTTCCCACTTGGCCAGAGTTTTATTTTGTTGCAGCATTTGTCTAATGTATCACTGCCACTAAAATATTATTCTTTGATGTAAATTTTAAAATATTTAACGCAAGGGAAGAGATGCATTTTCTATTTTAATTATTGTGTTTTATATGTTTTATTAGGAAAACTAATCAAATTACAGATTTATAATAAGTATTTAATTTTTCTTGCTGTACCTTACTTGTCTTATTTGCAAACAAATAAATTTTTGGAAGGTTTGGACTCGTGTGTTGCTTAAACAAGATAGAAATTTGCAGACTTACGTTGAGTGACTTGTAAGGTATAGCTGCTGGCTTGTTGACATTATCACAATCAACCCCATGTTAACATTACTTTGACATCACTTCAGAAATCATCTGCCGATGATTTAAGACAGGTTTTGTGATGGTATTACAAGGTGATGACCTTGTAATATGTGTTGGAGTTATCACTCTGTCTATCATGGTATTACAAGGTGATGACATTGTAATATGTGTTGGAGTTATCACTCCATCTGTCATGGTATTACAAGGTGATGACCTTGTAATATGTGTTGGAGTTATCACTCCATCTGGCATGGTATTACAAGGTGATGACCTTGTAATATGTGTTGGAGTTATCACTCCATCTGGCATGGTATTACAAGGTGATGACCTTGTAATATGTGTTGGAGTTATCACTCCATCTGTCATGGTATCACAAGGTGATGACCTTGTAATATGTGTTGGAGTTATCACTCCATCTGTCATGGTATTACAAGGTGATGAACCTTGTAATATGTGTTGGAGTTATCACTCCATCTATCATGGTATTACAAGGTGATGATGACCTTGTAATATGTGTTGGAGTTATCACTCCATCTATCATGGTATTACAAGGTGATGATGACCTTGTAATATGTGTTGGAGTTATCACTCCATCTGTCATGGTATTACAAGGTGATGACCTTGTAATATGTCTTGGAGTTATCACTCCATCTATCATGGTATTACAAGGTGATGACCTTGTAATATGTCTTGGAGTTATCACTCCATCTGTCATGGATGCACCTTAATTCAATTTATTCCTCTTTTTAATTAAAGTATTCCGTTGTAAATTTGTTTAAACAGTTTAGTTCTTCTGCTGTCATAGTTTAGTGCTTTTTTGCCACTGATAGTCTGTGTCCTATGATCTTAATTCATAGATTGCTGAATGCTGTCATCAGAATACAAACATGAAGAGTAATTGTTTACTTGGAGTAAGCGAGTCCTGTTTACTATATAGGACTTGCTTAGTGCATTTGCACAAATCTCTCATGTCAAATTGGTCTTAATGAAGTGGTGTGGAGTGAGATCGTAGGATGTAGGAGTGACTTATGCCTCGTGCTGGTCGTTACAGGAGAAGACAGAACCTTACTTTCTCTTCATCTTCTGCGTGGAGGCGTCTCTCAAGATCCTTGCCCTCGGCTTCGTCCTCCACCCTCGCTCCTACCTGAGGAACATCTGGAACATAATGGACTTCGTGGTAGTAGTCACGGGGTAAGTGATCCTCTCTTCCGTTCTTTAGTATCAGTTTTCTTAGCATGGAGCAAGTAATGGAGGGAAAGAAATATCATATTTAATGGATGGGTTGGGAAAGAGGGAGAGAAGCTTGATGAGATACAATTAAACCTGGTAGTTTAGTCTTGTGGTATGGATTATGTCTATTAGCAAGGAGAGAGGGGAAAGTCAGTATTTTGGGATTATTTTGTGTCCTCGACTCTGAGAGACAATAACGTTGTCAGTACAGTATTGCCTTGTGATTACTTTTCTAGTAATGTGGTTTTTGGTTATTGCCTCTCTTCTAGGGGTTATTTAAATAAAATCATCTTTTAAGTATGGTTATTTCTGGGATTATCCCTGTTTTGCTGGGATTATCCCTGTCTGGGTATACTTAAATCCATACTGGATGCCTGCTAGGGTTATACTGGGGATTCTTCCTATAAAGCACTGGTATAGATACGCAAAATTCGCCACTTTTACTATTAATGGGGCTTTTTGCCTTGCCCAGAATTATTTCTGTGGAAAGTTGTAGGTTCTTTGGCCTTGTAGAACTTCCAATATTTCTATTACTCAAGTGATGGCACCTTGGGAAAATAATGAATAGAAGAGTTAATTTACATGAGGAAGAAAACAGTTATGTAGGAATTAGGTAGCCATTAACGAATAGTTTTTACACACTGGAGACAGACTTATTGTGTACACCGTACCTATCCTGTGTGTGATAGACACAATACAGAGCCACACGTCCAAGAACTGGGCTACAGTATTTGTGCTAGCTAAACACGTTATGGTGATAATGAACTATTTTTAAATATATTTACTTTGGAAAAAGCTAATGAGTTTACATAATAACAACGGTAGTTCAAATTTGCGTTTATAGATTGTATATTGTTTGGCACAAGAAATATGGGGCGTAGGTCATGTTAGGGTATGGAGTAGCTGCCATTTCATAGAGTATTTAAATTGTTCTCTTAATTAATAACGTTGTAAAGAATGCTTATATATAATAATAATATTTTATTTTCAGAGTATAACATAAGATAAATGTGATTATGTTTTGTTTACAAGAGAAAGCTGCTGCTGGCCGCCACCACCGTACCATTACCCCTCACTTTTATGTTTCAGCCAGACTTACTACCCCACGTACTGTGTTGATACTTGTACACACACACACACACATTACCCCTCACTTTTATGTTTCAGCCAGACTTACTACCCCACGTACTGTGTTGGTACTTGTACACACACACACACACACACACACACACACACACACATTACCCCTCACTTTTATGTTTCAGCCAGACTTACTACCCCACGTACTGTGTTGGTACTTGTACACACACACACACACACACGCACACACACACACACACACACACACACACACACACACACACACACATTACCCCTCACTTTTATGTTTCAGCCAGACTTACTACCCCACGTACTGTGTTGGTACTTGTACACACACACACACACACACACACACACACACACACATTACCCCTCACTTTTATGTTTCAGCCAGACTTACTACCCCACGTACTGTGTTGGTACTTGTACACACACACCACACACACACACACACCCCACGCACACACAACACACACACACACCACACACACACACACACACACACACATTACCCCCACTTTTATGTTTCCCGCCAGACTTTCTACCCCCTACTGGTTGGTATTGTACACACCACACACACAACGCACACACACACAACACACACCACCACACACCACACACACAACCAACACACACACACACACACACCACACACACAAGACACACACAATCCTGTAACAAGGGAAAAAAGGTGATAATTAAAAAGAATTTTAAATACAATGAAAAGAAAAATAAAAAGACGTGTAAATGGTTAATGAGAGCGTCGAAAAACCCTTTGGAACAGTGTTATAGTGGATGATAACACCTGTTGGAGACATTTAATGGATGATTCACCTGTTGGGAGACAGTTTAAGTGGGGGATAACACCCGTTGGTAACAGTGTTTTAGTGGGTGAAAACACCTGTGGGTAGACGGGTTTTTAATGGATGAAACACCGTGGGAACGGGGTTTTTAGTGGTATAACACTGTGTGGAAGACGTGTTATAGTGGATATAACACCTTGTGGTAACGGTATATGGGAAAAAAACCTGTGGTAGACGGTGTTAAGGGTATAAAACCCCGTGTGGTAGACGGTTTATAGTGGATGATAACCCTGTGTGGAGACGTGTTATGTGATGATAGCACCCTTTTGGTAGAAAAGGTGTTTTAGTGGGTATAACACCGTGGGAAACAGTGTTAAGTGGCGATTTAAAACCTGGTGGTAGCGTGTTATTGGATATAACACCTGTGTGGGAGACGGTGTTAAGGGGATGAAACACCTGTGTGGGAGACGGTGTTAAAGTGGAGATAACACCTGTGTGGTAAAACAGGTTATAGTGAAGGATAACACCTTGTTAGACAGTTTTTTGGGTATAACACCTTGTGGTAGACGTGTTATAGGGATTTAAAACCTGTTGGTAGACAGGTTTTGGGAAAACACCTGTGTGGGAGACGTTTATAGTGGATGAAACACCTGTGTGGTAGACAGTTAAGTGGATCATAACACCTGTGTGGGAGACTTAAAGTGGGGGGAAACACCTGTGGTAGACAGTAAAGTGATGATAACACCTTGTGAACGGGTTATATGGATGGGAACACCTGGTGGTAGACGTGTTATAGGGATTAAACACCTGTGTGGTGACAGGTTTATATGGAAGAAACCCGTGTTAGACGGTGTTTATGGGTGAAACACCTGTTGGAAACTGTTATAGGATATAAAAACCGTGGGTAGCAGTGTTTTAGTGGGGGATAACCCTGTGTGGGAGACGGGGTAAGTGGATGATAACACCTGTGTGGTAACATGGTTTTAGGATATAACACCTGGTGGGTAACGGGTTTTTAGTGGGTGATAAAACCCCGTGTGGTAGACATGTTTTTACTGGATGTAAACCGTGTGGGAGACGGGTTTAGTGGATGAAAAACACCTGTGTGGGAACAGGTTTAGGGGGGATAACACCTTGTGGTAGACGGTTAAGTGGATGAAACACCCGTTGGTAAACGGGGTTATAGTGGATGAAAAACCTGTTGGTAGACGGTGTTATAGGGATGAAACACCTGGTGGAACGGGGTTATACTGGATATAAAACCTGTGTGGGAGACATGTTATAGGGGAGAAACACCTGTGTGGTAGACAGTGTTATAGGGGGTGAAACACCTGTGGGTAGACGGTGCTATAGGGTGAAAAACACCTGTGTGGGAGACAGGTTTAGGCAGATAACACCCTTTTGGGGAACGGGGTTATAGGGGATATAACACCCTGTGGTAGGTTTTAGTGGGTATAACACCTGGGGTAGACAGTGTTTAAATGGATATAAACCGGGGTAGACGGTGTTATAGGGATGATAACACCTGTGTGGAACAGTGTTATAGGAAGGAAACACCTTGGTAGACGGTTTTATAGTGGGTGAAACACCTGTGGGTAGACAGTGTTAAGGGATGATAACACCTGGTGGTAAAAGGGGTTAAGTGAATGATAAACCTGGGTAGACAGTGTTAAGTGGAGAAACACCGGTGGTAGACGGTGTTAAGTGGAAAAACCTGTGTGGGAGCCGTGTTATAGGGGGATTACACCGTGGAGACATGTTATATGGATGAAAACACCTGTGTGTAGACAGTGTTATATGGAGAAAACACCTTTGGGGGAGATGGGGTTAAAAGTGGAGGGTAACACCTTTGGTAGACCCCTGTTTTGTGGAGGTAAAAACCTGTGGTAGACTTTTAATGGAGGGAAACACCTGGTGGGAGACGGTGTTATAGTGGATATAACACCGTGTGGGAGACAGGTTATTTGGAGGATAACACCGTGGGGGTAGACGGGGTTAAGGGTTATCACCTGTGTGGGAACAGTGTTATAGGCAGGATAACCCTGGGGTAACGGTGTTTTTAGTGGATGATAACACCCGGGGGGTGACAGGTTTAGTGGATATAAAACCTGTGGGAGACAGTGTTTTTTAAAGGGGGGGATAACACCGGGGGTAGACGGTGTTTATGGTGAAACACCTTGGGTAGATGGGTTTTTAAGGGGGGAAACACCGGTGGTAACAGTTTATAGTGGGGGAAACACCGTGGGTGACGTGTTATAGTGGGTGATAACACCCGTGTGGGGAGACAGTGTTTAAGTGGTGATAAAACCCCGGTTTAGACAGTGTTATATGGGGATAACACCGTGTGGTAGACAGTTATGTGGGTGAAACCCTGTGGGAACGGCGTTTTAGTGGATGGGAACACCTTTGGTAACAGTGTTTAGGGATGATAAACCTTGTGGAGACGGTGTTATAGTGGATATAACACCTGTGGGTAGACAGTATAGTGGATGATAAAACCGTGGTGGACGTTATATGGATGAAAAAAACCCCGTGTGGTAGACAGTTAGGGTTTTATAACACCTTGTGGTAGCGTGTTATAGGGTGGGAACACCTGTTGGGAGACAGTTTATATGGGTGAAACACCGGTGGGAACAGTGTTATATATAGAGAAACACCCTTGGGGAGACGGTTAAGGGGGGATAACACCTTGTGGAACTGTTATAGTGGGTATAACACCTGTGTGGGAGACAGTGGAAGGGAGGGTAACACCTGTGTGGAACGGGGTTTTGTGGATGATAACACCGTGTGGGAGACAGGTTATGGATGAAACACCGTGTGGTAGCGTGTTAAGGGATGAAACACCGGGGAGACAGGGTTTTACGGATATAACACCTGTGTGGGAGACAGTGGGTTTTAGTGAAGATAACACCTTGTGGTAAAACGGGTTTTTTAGGGTGATAACACCTGTGTGGTAAACAGTGTTTAGTGGGGGATAACACCCGTGGGTAGACGGGGTTAAGTGGATGAAACACCTGTTTGGTAACAGTGTTGTAGTGGAGATAAACCCCCGTGGGA